AGTTCTATGAAATTGGGAAGCCTTTCAGTCAAGGTGCCCACAGTTGCCTCTGGAGTGTGTGTGGGGCGTCCTGCCTGTAGGAGGTTAGGCATTGGGTAGAAAGGACAGCATTTTTCAGAAGCATACTGCTCACGAGGGTCAGGGAGTGTGCCAGCTGTGAAACCACACCCTGGGTCTGGCTCCTACCCATGGGGTTGGAGGTGGGGGTGGGATGTGCTCCTCTGTCTCTAGGAGGGATGCAGGGCCTGCTGCCAGGCCCTAGGGAGGTGAGGCTGCCAGTCTGGTCTCCAGAGGGCACCAGTGGAGGTTGAATGACCAGAAGTTACTTTTTTTCTTGAGTTTCATTTTTAAGTAATCTCTACAGCCAATATGGGGTTTGAACTCACGACCCTGAGATCAAGAGTCTCCTGCTCTTCTGACTGAACCAGCCAGGCACCACGGACCAGAGTAGTTCTGAATGGCCAGGCCTCCTGGAGCCCAGGCTCTGCACACAGTGGGTGTCCAGGCTAAGTTGGGGCAGTTCCCATCGGATAGGTGGTTGGAATTGTTCTGGGCTCTCTGCTTAAGCAAAGATCACTTTTACGTTACTTTATTGTTTTAAAAGATTTTATTTATTTATTTTGGCGGGAGGGGGGAGAGTGTGCATAAACGGAGGGGCAGAGGGAGAGAATCTCAAGCAGACTCCATGCCGAGAGTGGAGCCTGACATGGGGCTCGATCTCATGACTCTGAGATCATGACCTGAGCTGATATCAAGAGTCAGATGCCCAACCGACTGAGCCACCCAGGCCACCCCAATGATCACTTTTATTTTAAAATCTTCTCTCATGGCCTTTGAAAGGCTGGGCCAGAGCATGTTCTGCTTTTTGTGGGGTGCTAGGAAAAGAGGCCTGGAAGTTGGTCCCAGTCTAGCCTCCCCCTGAGCCCTTGAGGCCATATACACTGCCTGGGATCATGGGCAAGTGGGGCTCCTAATGGGGTGCTGTTCCATGGGTCAGGAGGCCATGGGGCCGTGCCTTCGCTGTCCTCATTGGCCTTTTGGCTGCTGTGTGTTTGGGGTGCAGGGTGGGGGAGTCTTCGGAGTATCCTTGGCCTTGGGCTTTGACTACCTACTAAAGAGCCACAAGGGCTGCCGAGCCAGGATGGAACCGGGAGGGAGACGGATTTGTTCGTGCTATGACCACTCTGCCCTCATGAACTGCTTCCTGTGTGCCCAGGTTGAGTGAATGTTAGCTGGTAGTGAGCTGCTGAGAAGGGCATGTCCTCTGGAAACTGTTCTTTTTCTATTTGTTGGAATTTTTGTTTTCAGTTTGAGGTAAAATTTATATGCAACATGGTACCCAAATTTCAGGCAACCCTTTGAATTTTGACCAGTGAGTACATCACCTTAACAAAGATACAGAGCCGTGCTCCGCCCAAAAAGTTCCTCGTGCTCCTTCCCAAACAGTGCTCACCTTACCCTCCACAGGGTCTTTTGATTTTGTTTCTACCATGGACTAGTTCTGTATTTTCTAGAACTTAGTTTAAATGGAATTGTGGGTCTCTACTCTTGTGTAAGGTTTTCTTGACGTCATGATTTTGAGATTTATCCATGTTCATGCATCAGTTTTTTTTTTTTTTTTAGGATTGTAAAAGTAGTACATGATTATTTTAAATTCTGAATATTACAGAAATGAATATACAGAATTTATAGTTTTCCTATACTTCCACCCCCTATCCTCAGAACCTCATTTGTTTTTTTTTTTAAAGATTTTATTTATTTATTTGAGAGAGAGAATGAGATAGAGAGCACGAGAGGGGAGAGGGTCAAGGGGAGAAGCAGACTCCCCGCCGAGCAGGGAGCCCAATGTGGGACTCGATCCCGGGACTCCAGGATCATGACCTGAGCCGAAGGCAGTCGCTTAACCAACTGAGCCACCCAGGCGCCCAGAACCTCATTTGTTGATTGGGTATTTTGTGCCCCCAAGATGTTTCTTTCCACAGGATGGCATTGCCTGGTCGGGCCTTTCGTGCCTGTAGTGAGGAGGGTAGACTGGAAGGAGCAAGCGGACAGGTGCAGGGAGCTCGGCCAGCTCCCTCGGCTCAGCTCTGTGGGCCTGGCCTTCCCTTCGGTGGGTGTGTGTGTTTTGTGTTTTTTAAAGATCCTATTTATTTATTTGACAAAGAGAGACACAGTGAGAGAGGGAACACAAGCAGGGGGAGTGGGAGAGGGAGAAGCAGGCTTCCCGCTGAGCAGGGAGCCCGATGCGGGGCTCGATCCCAGGACCCCGGGATCATGACCTGAGCCGAAGGCAGACGCTTAACGACTGAGCCACCCAGGCGCCCCTGGGTGGGTGTGTGTTTTAAGTTTGGGGTGTCTGGGCCTTGGGCCTGCCCTCACCCTCAGAGAGAGAGAGAGAGAGAGAGAGAGAGTGTGTATGTGTGTGTGTGTGTGGCGCGCATGTGGCGCGTGTGGCGCGTGTCTGGCTTTTCCCTGGCAGGGACTTGGAGGGGGAGAAAAGGGCATGAGAATTCAGCAGAGACCTCTGTAGTTCTCTGCCTAACAGCCCAGCTGGGTAGGTGGGGGTGGACCATTTTGTAAACAAGGACCTGGGAAGGGAATCCAGGTGTTATAGCCAGGTCTCTCTGTTCATTCTCCCTTCTGTGTTCACAAGAAGCCAGAGCTGGCCTTCCCCAGGGACTCTTTTCCTACTGCCCTTCCCCCGGGGTCAGCCTAGCCAGGGTCTCATCTCCCCCTGCCCTGGCCCCCCCGCCCCCCGCCCAAGATGGGCTAGGTCTTGGCCTCAGAGGAGTACCTGATGATCCCACTGCCCCAGATCCTGGGCTTTTTGGAGCCAGTGCTCCGGCAGGCAACGGTTCTGAGCTGGGTGTGGATCCTTGGGGCTGATAGGCACGCTGCCTGGGCCTGCTGCCAGGGGGCTGCTGGGTGCCAGGAGCTGGTGCCAGGCAGTATCCTCATCCCAGCTTTGTGGGCTCCTGCCAAGGCTGGGCACCAAGCCCCTGTACCCGGTGGGGGACTGCGCTGCCAGCTTACTGGGCCAGCCTCCACGGTCATGTTTCTCTGGCACCCCGCCTCCCCGGGGGCTGTGGCGTCTCCAGCATAGGTGCCTGCTCCTCCTCCACCCCGTGTTGAGCTGTAGGGCAGAGGATTGTCTGCTTGTTACTGTTGGCTGGGAAGGAAAGAGCAAGGCTTTGTAGGGGTCCTGGCCCCGCAGCAGTGGGGCGCCCCCTCCGCTGTGGTGAGGTTAACATGGGTGGTGGCGGCCTGCCTGGCCCCGCCTGGGGTGGGAGGCAGGTAGAGTGGCATTGTGCTGGCTCTGACCGCCCAGCAGGCAGCCCCGCTATGGCCCCACCCAGTGGAGGGCACTGGGAAGGCAACTCAGTCCTGTCCTGTGGAGTCCCTGTGGGGAAGTTGGGCTCGAGAAGAGTCATGTCTGACCCAACTTCCGAGACCTTGGTCAGTCACACTGTCTTCCCGTGGCTGGTGAAGTGGCTGGCAGGGCTGGAGCAATGAGTTACCTGTGGAAGCCCCCGGAGTTCTGTTCTGCTGCCCGCTCTTTGCGTGGTGTTCAGTAGTTGTTGGCCTGATCTCTGACGAGGGCAGGTAATTCCTAGTTGCAGGGTCTGGTATGTGCTAAATCGGGGGCCACGGTGTGGACACTGTGCCCCCAGCAAGGCTTGGGTTGCCCTGAGATCTGGTGGGGAGCAGGCAGGGTGGCACAGGGCTGTGTGATGGGCATCTATCTGGTAGGCTCAAACACATCGCTGTGGCTCCCTGTTCATTTTTCAGGGCTGCTCTTGCCAGCGCTGAGGTGGTCTCTGCCCCCCTTCCTAAGGCTGAGCTCTACTCTGTCCTGCTGGCCACTTCTGGTGTCACTTGGCAGGAGACCCTGAACTCTCTACACACGCAAGGGGTCCAGAGCCTTCATTAAATGTAGACGAGGGTGCCTGGGTGGCTCAGTTGGTTGGGCGACTGCCTTCGGCTCAGGTCATGGTCCTGGAGTCCCAGGATCGAGTCCCACATCGGGCTCCCTGCTCGAGGGAAGCTCCCTGCTTCTCCCTCTGACCCTCTTCCCTCTTGTGCTATCTCTCGTTCTCTCTCTCTCAAATAAATAAATAAAATCTTAAAAAAAAAAAAATAAATGCAGACGAAGGTGCTCTCAGGCCTCTGGACCAACAGAACTGGTTCTCCTGCCATCTGGGCCATGGGTGGGATTCTGGACCAACCGTTCCCCCTCCCCACTTCCTCACACCCCGGAGCCACCCCATGAGAGGAGGACTGTGCTGGGGGCCAGAGAGACAGCTGGCTGGCTGGAGCGGAGGCCTCCCAGCCACCCCGCACCCCGGGTCTGGTCACATTCCTGAGGGACCTGCTGAGCCGCCCTGGCCCTGGGGGTGGGGGAAGGGCAGGCAGGGATGGGCTCCAGGCTGCTGTAGGCCTCCGCCCCCACCCTTGGCTTCATTCCAAGGGAGCCCAGGCTTGCCGAGTGGGGTGCAAAAAGCCAGAACCTCAGGATCCCCCTCCCTGGGGACCTGCATCTCTGGGGGAGGTGGGGTGGTGGGGGCAGAAGGAGACCTTCGCATCTGGCGGCAGCTGGCTTTGGCGGGCTGGTATTGAAAGGCCAGGCCTGCAGAAACTCCTGTGAGGGGAGGCCATGTGGTCCGACTGGGCTGGGCAGGAGGGGGCTGGGCCCTCTGGGCAGGGAGGGGGTGGCGGGAGCAGATCAGGAAGGGAAGGAGGCAGGAGAGCCAGAAGCGGTTGAGACTGGTTCTTATAAATAGCCCATTGCACTAGTGCCTCCAATTTTGACCTTTTGTCATGTAAATGTGGCCAGCCTGAGAAGGGCCTTGCCCAGGCCGCCTGCCACCAGCTCCCCCACGGGCCTAGGTAGCCCTGAAGAGTACCCTAAATCTTCTGGGTGGGAGGAGAGTGCAGCCCTGCTGAGCTCTCCAGGCCTGTGGCCTTCCCTGCCACTGGGCCTGATGGCTGCTGGGCACTGCGGCTGCCCCCGGCACCCCAGCCAGAGAGACCACCAGGTGCCTGCCCCTTTACTGGTGCTCCTTCCTGCCCTTGGCTGATGTCTGCCCGGCTGACCCTGTCCATCTTCTCCTCCCCAGGTGACCAGGCATTGATGCACCCCCAGGGAGGCCGCGCGCTCAAGGAGGCCACCCCCGCTGGCTGCTGCGCACATGGTTTCTGGGCCCCTGGCACTCCGGTAGGCTGGGGAGGGGGAAGCATGGGGGAGGGCTACCTGGTCTGCCCACACAGCCCTGCAGTTCGCAGCCTGGCCCTTTGTGTGCACACAGTGCTGGGTAGCATGCAGGTGAGGCTGGGGCCCACTGCCCTCAGCCTGCAGAGGAGTGGCTGCTGTGGCTCACAGGCTCTTGGAGGACGGGACCTCCTGCCTTTGGCCTGCCCTCTCTTGCCAGCCTGGGAGCACCAGGTATCCTGAGTGCTGGTGGGGCTGACACTGCATTTCCCTGGGGCTCAGTGTCCCGACCAGTGTGGAAACCGTGCCTTGGGCTCTTTGTCCTTTCCTGGCTGGCTGAGGGCAGGTAGGTTCCCTCAGGACACAGGCTCTAGCCTCTGAGCGCCAGCTGAGCGGTCTTACAAGGCTGTGCTGGCTGAGCGGGTGCTTGTTGCCTCCTATTAGGCCCTGAGTGCTAGCTTGTGGCCGTTTCTACCCATGTGTGTTCACAGTTCCGAGGCCACCTTTGGGGTGTGCGTGGTTATTAGGGTTTTCCTCTGTCTTTGCAAATGAGGGCAGGCATGGGGCAACGGGGCGCGGGAAGTGTTTGTGTTACAGGAAGGCAACGTGGGCGTGATCCCTTCAGACTCTGCCCCAAGGGAGGCAGGACTGGGCTGGGTACACTGGTAGAGGCAGAGGGGTCCCAGGTGGGGCAAGCCTCAGAGCAGTCACTTTCAGAGATTGAGCCCTGAGCCGAAGAACATGAAAGCACCCTTGTCAACTGCATGGCACAGAGTTGCCTATGGGAGGGTGCATGTTCCCTGAAGGGCCGGAGGGAGCAGGGAGCCACACCTTGTGCCTCAGGTCCTGCTGCTCATTGGGGTGGCTGCCTGGTCGGAGCACCCTGCTCTCAGAGACTCATGTGCATGCTGTTGCACAGCCCACCTGCACGGTTCCCATGGAGGTCAGAGGCCTCTCTGTGTTTATTAATGGCATCAGTTAGCATCTGTGCTGGTCTGGCAGGGCCAGCTGGCTGCTTTTCCTGGGGCCCCAGTGGTGCCAGGGGCTTGACCAGGCCCCCTTTTCTGCTCAGCACCTAGAGACCCAGGCTGGGGTGTTCAGGGCCCTCCCCGGGGGGCGAGGCCCTTGTGGGTTGGGAGCAGGCACTGGCAAGGGACACTGGCTGGACTGCAGTGTGTCTGCAGGCAGGACTGAACGTTGGCAAACCCGAATTGGGAAGCCACTAGGGTTTGAGAGGCACCCGGGGCAGAGCAGAGGTCACAGATGGAGGCTGCATATTTGATATGGCCCACGTGGTATTTAAGGAAAAAGAACCTTTATTTGGCATTGGGAGATTCAACCTGAAAATCTCAATTTCTAGCTTGTCCTAAAAACTGGGAAGTTGCCTGCCCATGTGGGACGTGAGCCCACCTGGGAGCTTCTGCTCACCTCAGTCCCTACTGCTTCCCAGCACCTCACAGTCCCCTGCTTGTCATTTTTTAGTCTCCTGTGGGCTTGTGGCCGACTTCTTTAGCGTGGAGAGGGTGCCCTGGGCTGTGGAGCCAAAGTCAATCCCATTTTCTCTGCTCAGCACCACGTGACCATTGTCCTCTGCTTCCGTGCAAATGGGACCAGTGCCCTATCCCTTTTCGGGCAGCTCCCCATTGGTAGTGTGAGTTCCTTCTCTGGGTACCATGCCTGGTGAGGCCTCCCTGAGCACCATCACAGCCCCACCCTGTCCCGGAGCCCTTGCCAGAGGCTCCCAGGTAGCTAATGCCCATGCGCCTGTTCTTGCCCACAGGTGGTACGCGTGGGCGGGGCGTGGGGACATGGGGCCCGACATGGAGCTGCCCAGCCACTCCAAGCAGCTCCTGCTGCAGCTGAACCAGCAGAGGACGAAGGGCTTCCTGTGTGATGTCATCATCATGGTGGAGAACTCCATCTTCCGTGCTCACAAGAACGTCCTGGCTGCCAGCAGCATCTACTTCAAGTCCCTGGTCCTGCACGACAACCTCATCAACCTGGACACGGACATGGTCAGCTCCACGGTGTTCCAGCAGATCCTGGACTTCATCTACACGGGCAAGCTGCTGCCCAGTGACCAGCCGGCCGAGCCCAACTTCAGCACTCTCCTCACTGCCGCCAGCTACCTCCAGCTGCCCGAGTTGGCAGCGCTCTGCCGCCGTAAACTCAAGCGAGCCGGCAAGCCCTTCGGCTCCGGTCGGGTGGGCGCCACCGGCATGGGGAGGCCGCCCCGCAGCCAGCGGCTGTCCACAGCCTCCGTCATCCAGGCGCGGTATCCGGGGCTCGTGGACGGACGAAAGGGGGCCCACACCCCCCAAGAGCTCCCCCAGGCCAAAGGCTCGGATGACGAGCTCTTCCTCGGAGGCTCCAGCCAGGAGGGTGTGCATGGCCTGGGCCGGGCCGTCTGTCCAGCCAGCGGAGGGGAGGCTGGCCTGGGCAGCTGCAGCACCAATGGGAGCAGCGGGGGCTGTGAGCAGGAGCTGGGCCTGGACTTGTCCAAGAAGAGCCCTCCCCTGCCTCCCGCCACCCCTGGTCCCCCCCTGACCCCTGACGACTCGGCCCAGCTGAGTGACAGTCAGCATGGCTCGCCCCTCTCAGCCTCCGCCCCTCCTGTTGCCAACAGTGCCTCTTACGCTGAGCTGGGGGGCACCCCCAATGAGCCCATGGACCTGGAGGGGGCCGAGGACAACCACCTGAGCCTGCTGGAGGGGCCCGGCGGGCAGCCCCGGAAGAGCCTGCGGCACTCGGCCCGCAAGAAGGAGTGGAGCAAGAAGGAGCCCAGGGTGGGGTCCCCCTTCGAGCGGAGGGAAGCGGGGCCCAAGGGCCCCTGTCCAGGGGAAGAGGGCGAGGGGCTAGGGGACAGGGTTCCCAATGGCATCCTGGCCAGCAGCGTTGCGGGGGGTGGCCCCAGTGGGCCCTACGTGGAGCCCCCGTACCCCTGCAAGGAGGAGGAGGAGAACGGCAAGGACGGGAGTGAGGACAGCGGACAGAGTGGGAGCGAGGGGGGCAGCGGGCACGCCGGCACGCACTACGTGTACCGACAGGAGGGCTACGAGACCGTGTCCTACGGGGACAACCTGTACGTGTGCATCCCCTGCGCCAAGGGCTTCCCCAGCTCGGAGCAGCTCAACGCCCACGTGGAGACACACACGGAGGAGGAGCTGTTTATCAAGGAGGAGGGTGCCTACGAGACGGGCAGCGGGGGCGCCGAGGAGGAGGCTGAGGACCTGTCGGCGCCCAGCGCGGCCTATGCGGCCGAGCCCCGGCCCTTCAAGTGCTCGGTCTGCGAGAAGACCTACAAGGACCCGGCCACGCTGCGGCAGCACGAGAAGACGCACTGGCTGACCCGGCCTTTCCCCTGCAACATCTGCGGCAAAATGTTCACGCAGCGTGGCACCATGACGCGCCACATGCGCAGCCATCTGGGCCTCAAGCCCTTCGCCTGCGACGAGTGCGGCATGCGCTTCACCCGCCAGTACCGCCTCACCGAGCACATGCGCGTGCACTCGGGCGAGAAGCCGTACGAGTGCCAGCTCTGCGGGGGCAAGTTCACCCAGCAGCGCAACCTCATCAGCCACCTGCGCATGCACACCTCCCCCTCCTAGAAGCCAAAGACCCTGCTCCCCGGCCCGAGGCTGCCCTCTGCAGACTCGCCCTCGGGAGCCAACCGAAGGAAGAAAGAAGCACGGAGGCCGGGCGGGAGGGGCCGGGACCCCCAGGTCCCGTGGGGGTGGCTCCTGGTGGCACCTGCAGCCAGCCCCGCGCCCCCCCCCACACCCAGAGCTTTAATGGACAAGTCTGTACCAAGGGAAGCGAGAGGAGGGAAGCCGACAAGCCCGAGCTCCGAGTGCGCATTGCTGGTGTGCAGTCTACCTCCCAATTCTGCCCTGGCCCCCGGCTCCCTGAGAGGGGCCGCTGCAGGGCCTGTGGGAGTGGGTCACGGGGGTCTCGATGCCCCTTTCCCGCAGGCCGGGTCAGAGCAGGGGGAAGTGGGGGCCTCCCTCCACTGGGGAGGAGCGGGGCTGCCCCGTGGCCAGGGGCGCAGTCTGTGTGCGTGCACGAGTGCTTGTCTGTGTGCGGGCCACCCTGGCTCTTCGGGGAGCGGTGCCGGAGGGGAGGGGACAGAGCCCTCCTTCCTCAAGCCAGGGGTCACTGCTCACTGGCGCTGGGACAGTCAGGGGCCCCCACCGCCTACCTCTCCACAGCTAAAGAGCCCTCTGGGCCTATGTTGCTGTTATTCCTACTGATCTGTTCCTTTTTTCTTTTTGAATTTTGTTTTTTAAACCAAAACCAACAAGAGTTTATTTTCCTCCCGGCCCCTCAGGGCTGAGCCTGGGTCTGCAGACTGAATGTACAGGGGCAGCTGCCCCTCCCGCCCCCGCCCCGGCTGTGGGCTGAGGGGCGCCCACCCCTCCAGGCCCCAGGAGCCCTTCTTGGCCAAAGGCTTCCCTGGGCCCCGAGCCCCGCCTCGGCTGCCTCAGGAGAGAGAGTGATTTTCCTATAGTTTCTGAGGAATATTCTTTGTTTAGAGGTACTTCTTTTTTATTAAGAGAAAAACCAGTGTAACGTTTATGTGAATGTTTGAACTGGAAGGTCTGGGATTTGTGGGGGGGAGGGGGGAGGCTGGACTCCATGCCAGAGCCGTCGGTACTCTTCTTTTTCATTTTCTGTGTGTGTGTGTGTGTGTGTGTGTGTCTATGTGTATGTAGTGTGCGCGGTGCACGTGGACAGATAATTGAGCTTTCCTTCCTTCCTTACCGATCAAGGTGGAGAGACTTCTGACCTTTTGCTACCTCTTGAATCCACAAGAACAGTGTGTTGGTGGCTGGCAGCTGAGGCCGGGACACTCGGTTTCCTCCTGTTAGTGTGCGCAGGAAGACTGGCGTGTGAGTGAGCCTCCTGGGCTCCCCCAGCGCGCTCACGAGGGGCTCTGCGGCCCGGAGCGCGCCACTTGCCGTGTCCACCTGCAGGTGTTCTGAGTGTCGCTGAGTGTCAGGGAGCCCGTGTGTGCTTCTGATCTGGGCCTGGGTTGCGGGGGGGGCGGGGGCGGTGAGTGCTTCAGCCCCAGCCCCATGGGACATCAGGGCGTGGAGCCTCACTGCCAGAGCCAGCTCCTTGCAGCTCCCTGCCAGGGCCAGGATGAGGTGGAAGTGAGCCCCCCCCCTCCTGCCCTTGGGCCTGCAAGAGCTGGAGCTTGGGAGAGCAGCAGCCCCTGCCAGGCCAGTGCAGAGGCACGGGGAGGCACTGACCAAAGTGATGTATACCCCCCTGGGGGACAGGGAGGGGGCCTGCCCTGCTTTGGCACCTTCTTGGGGCGGTCCTGGCCGCTCTGGCAAGAGGCTGGCTGCCACGAATTGGCTTGGCCCTGTCTGGAGTCCCACCCCTCGCCCCTCACTGTGGGTTTTCTCTGCCAGCCTCAGGACCCTTCCATGGGCCAGGGGTCAGGCTCGCGAGGCCAGACCAAGGTCGCTGTGGTTGTCCCCACTGTCCTTGGCTGACTGGAGCCACAGGGCTGGGCCAGCGGCTTTGTCTTCATTTTGCTTCATGCTTTTTATTTTTTTTCTCTTTCTACTTTTAAGTTCAGACCAAAAAATTCTAGAGTCATCCTCAACCCTCACCCCTCCAGAGACCCTCCAGCTGAAAACAGCCTGAGTTCAGGGACCCGAATGGTGAAGGGCGTGTTTTGCAAGTGAGGGCTCCTGGCTGAGCCCATCTCAAGGCGCCCGAGCCCCAAGTTGGGTCTTACTCCCTCTGGGTGGGAAAGGAGCACCGGACCCAGGGTCTCGTGTTCCCCGAAGTCAGGTGAAGGGGGCAGGGTCCTTTCCAGGCCTCTCCGCCCTCCCGACCCCACCCCACTCCGTCAGCACTTAAGCCACACGACACAAAGTCTGTACCGCACGGGAGTTGTACGCATGCGCGCGCCCGGCCTGTGTGTGGCCTCTTGGGCTGTGGGCGGCTACATTCATGAGGTGACCCGTGAGAGTAGGTGATTCATTTGCAGAACTTCAGGGACTGGGCTCAAAGGCCCCTCACTCAACGACGTTCGTGCGACATAGTATTGTACCCACCTGAGTATTGTATCGAGCCTTTTCTGTATTTTAACAAGAAAGCAAAACACTAGTTTCCTATTTAAGATTTTAAGGGTTTGTGGGGAGGGGTGGGACTAACACAACACTTGGTTTTGTTTTCTTTTCCCTTTGATTTCATGTGGAGTGTGTGCTTGCGAGTGTGTGCGTGGAAATTTGTTAAGAGCCTCACAAGGAAATTAGGCTGTTGGAGGCCAAGGGCGGCTTACAGTTCTCTGCTTTAGTCACTTAATTCCTGAATGTTTCGGAGAAACAGGAAACAGAGAAAATAGCAGATGTCATGTAGGAAAGAGAGGATTAAAAAAAAAAAAAAAGCTCATACCCAAATTCACAAAACCTATTTTTTAAACCAAAGCACATTTTGAATGAGTATGGAACCTCAATGGGCTCAGAAAAAAAGATACTAATATATTTATCTCATTGTTTACATAAACTTTTACAGTTTCAGACCTCAGCAGCTGTAAGGCCAGTCCCAGTGAATCCCCACCTTGCGCTGGAGGCCCTTCTGAGTCAGCTCATGGGCAGAGGGGCGGCCGGGGCAGGCACAGAGGCCCCCTGGATTCACCTGAGCCCTCCTCCCCAGCCCCAGGCCTCTCAAAGCCCACCTGGCACCAAAGAGTGTGGGCCGGTGCTGACCGGCCCCCAGGCCTCCTGGCCGGACCGTGGGGGTCCCGGCCAGCTGGCACAGCAGGGGATGGCCGTCGGCTCGGGCCCTGGGATGGAGGACCCCCCCATCTCCCCTACTCTGCCTGCGACCCTCGGGGTGGGTTGATGTGAGGGTCCCTCTCAAGCCAAAAAGCCCCGGGACCTTTGCACAGCTCCGTTGACTCCAGCACCCCCACCCCCATCCCCAGCAGTGGGTGGGGGGGCCTACTGGGCTGGTCCTTACCAACACAGACGGTGCAAACACTCTGAACAGTGTTGTTTTTGTATCAATATGTTTGTGCAGTGATGAATGTATTTATTTCTCAGACTTGGGGCAAGTGAGCGGCCGGCTCTGCCACTGCTCGCTCCCACCAGACCGAGCCACCCCAAGGGCTCCTCCAGGATTGCAAAAAAAGGTAAAAAAAGAAAAGACGAACCTTTAAGCAAGTAAGAATCTCAGAGACTCGCAGCATAGCCATACACCTCAGCCTGTGAAATGAACAATCTGGACCTTGACGGACTTTTGGAACCTCACGCAGCCGTGTGTGTTATTTCCTGTTTGTCACCACTCGGGGGCGCTGGGCTGTCCCGCTGTGCCCCCACCCCCACCCGGTCAGTATTCACTGGACTGGGCCGAGTGCAGGAGTGCGATCTGGGCTGGGCTAACTGGGCAGGCAGACCCTACCGCCCTCCCCACAGCCGTCCTGGGTAGGGGAGGCCTGGGCAGCCAGGAGGGCAGGGCTCAGGGAAGAGGTGGCTGCATCCGTCCGCCCCCTAGCTTGGGGGACGAAAGCAGAGGCACCAGGCCTCCGAAGAACAGACAGGGGATCTCAGCCCTGCTGTGCCCCTCAAAGGGACCAAGGCCCTTGCTCTTCCCCAGGGTCACATTGGGGCAGACGTTACTGAACCTGTGAATCCGATGCCAGGAGTGATGGGATGGAGAGGGACCTAACCAGAGCCTCAGTGTGACATTCCAGATCAGGGTGTGTATGTGCGCTGTGGGAATTTAGGCTGCCCAGGACCCCCTTTCTAGGACCCCTCCCCCGTCAGCTTCAGTCACCACTTTAATTTTTCTACCGGGAACCCCTCCCCCTACCTCACCTTGCTATTTATTGCTGTAATTTATTGACCTCAAAAATGCTGCATAACAGACCTCACTTGGGGCAGGGAGGATCCCCAGGGCTCCCCCCCTCCACTTGGCGGGGCCCCGTGGGGCCAGGTGCTGAGGGGAGCCTCTCTGTATCCCACCCATCACTTGTTTTCCCCCTCCCCCCTTGGGGGACCCCAGGTTGGGCACCTGCCCATTCGCAAATACCTCGAGGGGGAGGGGGAGGGATGGGGTTATAGCTGTTTCGTTTAAATCAGAACTGGAAGAGGGATCACGTCCTACTCTCTTCCCTTCCCAGAAGGGGGAGGGACACTGTGATCGCACTCCTGTACTGGCCACCGCCGCTGTCAGTCATCACATCGAGCTCACTTTGAGAGTTTGGATAAATTCAGGTCAGAGCTGCAGGTACGCAGCCCTCAAGTGTCATAGAAAAGCAATTCACCGACGACTGATCTCTCCATTCAGAAGCGTGCAGTCTTAATGTACAGTGATGAGAAACTGTTATTTTATGATCTTTTCATTAAAAGCTTGATTGAAAACTATCTTATGTGGGGCTTCTGTGTTCTGTGGTTGTTCTCTCTTACTAAATGACATACTGCTTTCGTTTCTGTGTCCAGCACTTCCAAGACCTCGGAGGGCGGGAGCTGCGATGGGCATTTGCCCACTACCGTCCTAAGGGTGCGTTTCAGATGGGGCTGGGACCTCACTTGGCCACTTGTATGCATCCCGGGCTTGGGCACTGGTCCAGGGACCCAGCACCCTAGAGTCGGCATCCTCTTGGGCAACGTTGTCCCGGGTTGGCTAAGACGGTTTAGGGGGCAGTGGA